ACAAGCTCTCATTCGAAGAAGTTCTCACCATCTTGCATTTTGTTGCATGTTTCAAACTTGTGGGCCTTATTCAACTAAATCCACAGCATTTCACATTTTTAAAAAAAGAAAAAAAGAAAAAGAAAAAGAAAGGGAGGTTCTTCAAAGATAAATTCATGAAAAGCCCATCTTTTAGACATCAAAATAATCTGAGCACATGATTTTGGAGCATCACATCATCATTTTCTCCAAGCATCACCATTCACTTTTTCTTCAAGCTTCATGGCATTTGCTTTCTTTTCAAATGATATTTCCCATGAATGCCAATTTAGTGAATCACCAACTACTCCTTTGAAATTTGCATACTTGAAGAAAAATTCATGTTTTAAGATACAATTTCACACACCTTACCACTTGTCAGCATATTTGTATTCTTGCATCCTTTGTCTATTGTTTGGCATCCATGTTTATTTCTTGTCTTGCATTCCCATAATCTTGTTTGATTCTCTGCCTTCGACAATTGAAATATGGATTCATACATTGTCAAGTGCGATTCTTTGTCAATCAAGACACCTTTTGAAATATTCATCCGTGGAGAAAGCTTTGACCAACAAAGGATTGAGGAGATCTTTAACTGCAAGCATTTTTCTCCATCGTGGACAATTGCCAAGTCCAAGGGGCAAGCTTAGAAGGACAAGAACCAAGAGCAACCTCGAAGATCAAAAGCTCAAGCACATCACACTTTATATGGCTTTAGCAATCAAGGGATTCTCCAAGGAAAGGAATGCAACTACTCACTGAACAATCATACTTTGAGAGATCTAGGAGTCAGATTTTGCTAGGAACTTGAATGCTCCCATGTTGATGTACTTAGTATGATGTATTAGGCTTTTACTTTGTAATGAATGACCATCTTTGTAAAGCATGTTGAACCACTTGTAAATGTCTTCTATAGCCCTTTGAGTCTGATGGAAATCTTAAGGCGTTCAAAGATATTTTGCTTCATCTGAGGCTTCTTGAGGATTGGAAATCGACGATGTGTGAATCCATATAGCAATTGTTGAAACACTAAATCATGCAAAATTATGGGATGACTTCTAACATTATTCTGACTTTGTTTATTTTTCTTTTACTTTTTGTTTGCAGGTAGGGTTCATAAACTACTTCAAGAACAAAAACAAAAAAAATCAGGCTTGATAATCTTCCTATGTTTTCTCACTCTTTGGAGCAATGCATCATCCATCTAGAAGGCAACCTTCAACATGCTTTTATAAACTCACCAAGATATGATGTTGAAGTGGACTTACACACGAGATTTGTGGATTTAAATTCAATGAATGAGGGGGCAAATCTAGGTCATGGGGAAATTCAAGTATTATTGCTCCTAGGGATGAACCCCTATTTGACATGACCATTACTTTTGCCTTGGGGACACTTTGGCCAATTGGACAGTCAAGCTTTTCTCTGCTTCATTCATCCATGAGTGGGATGCGTCAGCTTTCTAATAGCTCAGCTTGTGGCTACATGAAAGGAGGGAATAATAAGCTCTTTTATATTCTCTGAAATACTTGCTATCATGCTAATTAGTTTTCCAATCTTTACAGTTCAGTCTCACATGTTGCCATATCACCATCCATTAAAGCTGATGCAACTCTTCTTGTTAATCATTGTCCAAACCATCATTCACCATTGAGACATCATTTGATTCCATTAATATGCCAAAAAAGAAAAAAAAAACAACAAAAAAACAAAAACTAAAAAACTTGCATATATATGCTTTCCTCACATGCTGTTGCTTATCCATGTTTCTTTTTGCTTTCAGGCTTTGCTAATGATGAATCTGAATACAATGATGCCATTTCAGGATTGGTATATGGTTCAAATGATCCAAATCCATGTCAAGGAAGATGATGATGATGTTGATTCTTCCCTTGAACTAATTAATGTGTTGCAAAATAGAGGCCAAAGTTGCAGTCAAATGTGATAGACTCATACAAAAAAAAAAAGAGAAAGAGAGAGAGAATAAGGAAATCTTGCTAACTTAAGTAGAATGGTTGTCATCATTTTGAGGTCTAAAGTGAAAAGCTCAAGGATCAAAGGCCATCTTTCATGAGCCTAATTTCCAAACACTTTACCCAAAAGAGTCATCGTTTTTGTCAACCAAGTTGAGCCTAAAAAGGAAAAGTGAGCCTTTTCTTTCATACATATCCCAAAACCGGGGAATATAGTTACATGCCTAATTGGGGGGGGCAAGATCATATTGCTAAAAGCCATGAAGATAAATCTCAAAAGAGGAGCAAAGCTCAAAAAGAGCAAAAGCTCAAAAAAAGAAGAAAAAAAAGGGGTAATTACATGG